GGCAGTGGGTTCTTGCAGCAACTGCATCTAACTTCCTTGAGTACTTCCTTTGTGCCAGGCATAGCCCAGGTGTTTTATGGAATTGGTGTTATTGTTGTCTTCACTCTACAGACATGGGAACTAAAGCTCAGAGAAGTTAACATCGAGACAGGCTCTTGCCACGTGTGATGTACTTTTGAAACTGCATCAATTAATAATATCATATATTTGTCCTGGCTTTCCATTTTTGCATTGCTATACATCAGAGCTACATGTTATTTGGTTCATTAGTGGCAAAATGGCTGATGTAGTCTAAAATTAATCTTGGCTGCTACTTACAAATCCTGCTGTGTTTGCCATTTTTTATACAAAAATAAAGAATTTTATGAATTTAAAAGGAACCATCTTGGAGAGTTAGTTTTAATTCTTATAAAACTAGAGCTACCAAACTATCAACCACATTCGGTGAAACAGGTACCAAACCTTTTTTTTTTTTTTTTTTATACTTCACAACTGCTCTATATGTTGAACTTAATCTTGAATAATTTGCTGTTTTGTGGCAGACAACAGATAAATTAATGACTATGCTTTTGTTTAAAATTAGCTATCAAATTTTATAATTGAGACTTAAACATCTAGATTGGTGTGAAAGTTCAGTTTAATGATTACATTTCTTCTAATAAGGGGAACATTTCTCCCATACCAAGTTCATTTTGAGTACTAAAATCAAGTGTCAGAAAAAGTGATGCAAACATTTCTTACATAGTTTAAAAATTAAAGAATTAACCTGGTTCCTTAGCTTGTTTTACAGGTTATTAWAAATCTCTATAAAAATTGTGCCCTCAACTTTCAAATTCTTTCAGTAACAAATTTTTACCTTATTTTTATATTCCTTTTATACACTTAAGCCTTTTTTGCCTTATGCTCTATTTTTTKTGTGTGTGGTGTGTGTGTCTTACTTTCATTATTAGATTGTCAGTTCCTTAGGAGCAAGAACCCTATGGTGTATATCCTTACATAGCACCTTCTATTTCCTCTCAAATCACATTACTGTTGGTCATAGTGTTTTAAATTATGGCAGGAATGAGGTAAAGTGTATGAATAAAATTTTGAAAGTTGCACCACCCCCAGAGATAGCAGGAATCTCCAAGCCAGTGAAGTAGGATGACGAGGAAGAAAATGGAAAGAAAGATACTCTTTTATGAACATGCCCTGTGTCATAAATAACTAGACCCAAAAGGATAGGACTAATCTTCAGGGAATTGAAATATACAAATATAGGTCTTTTTTTTCCTTCTGACTTTATTAAGGTATAATTGACACATGAAAATTATGTGTTTATGATATACAATGTGATCTTTTAACTTACATATACATTTGTGAAATGTTTAAATGAATATAATCAACATGTATCTAGGTGTGTATGTGGAGACAACATTTAAAATCTCCGTTAGCAATTTTCAAATACAGAATACATTATTAACTCTAGTGACCATGCTGTAGGTCCCCAGAACTTACTGCCTCTAACTGAAATTTTGTACCCTGTGACCAGATCTTCCCATCTACCTCATTCTCCCTACCCCACTCTGCCTAGCCCCTGGCAACCATTATTCTTTTCCCTGATTTCTGTCTTCTATATATGAGTTCAACTTTGTTAGAAAGAATGTCTAAATATTTGCTCCCTTCTTTGCAAGGATGAGTAGTTTCTTAGGTTTAATATGTTATTTCTTCTTGTTGTGGTGACTCATTTATCCAACCTCTTGATTGTGGTCATGATAATTAAGGACCACTGTAAAAATAGGATCAGGAATTTCCCTGATTGAAAAATAAATAGAAAGCAATGGCTCATTGTGGGCAGATCCTGTGGACTCACCACCAGTACCATGGCTTTGTTTTTGTTTGTTTTTTTTTCTCTTATTGAAAGTACAGGCTTTCTTCACGTTTTTTAGTTAAGTATTATAGTTTCTTTATGGAAAGAGAAGATGATTTGGGCAGAGCAAGTATATTGTGGTCAATCCCTCCATCCAGTTGACCTTTCCAATCCTTGACTGTAAGTTTTTCATTCTGGAACTCCAAATGGCACCCCCMCACACACACACCACCACCACCACCACTACCACCACAATTTTTATTTCTGAGGTAGACAAGAGAAATAATTACAATCAATATCTAGATTTTTCTAAATATTCGGGTTGAACATTTTATAGGATACATCAAACTCTTAAGTTTCTAGTTTTCTTTGTTCCACAGTATTTTGAATATTTTCTCAACACTTTGACATTCCCTTCCCTTTATCCACTACCCTCTATCCACTTCCTCCTCAGTGGGTCTTCACTGTTTTTTGTACTCTCCCCTCTCTATGGCTTTTTTAAAAAATATTTTTTAGTTGTCAACGGATATTTATTTATTTATTTTATTATTATTATTTTTTTTTGTCATGCTGAGGATCAAACCCAGGGCTTCACACATGCCATCCAAGCACTCTACCACTGAGCCACAAGCCCAGCCCCTCTCTATGGTTTTTGATGTCTAGGGAGTATTGATATATTTCTCTGTCCTTTATTGCTCTCTGTCCATCCAGGTCTTTTCCTAAAGCATTCATTTTTGTTTTCTCTTTTTGTATCTTCTTTAATTTTCTTCAGAATTCCTGTTGTCTCTAACTAAATGCTTGTGTGTGTGTGTGTGTGTGTGTGTGTGTGTGTGTGTTTTCATGCTGGTCCTCAAACCCAGGACCTTGTACATGCGAGGCAAACACTGTACCACTGAGCTACATCCCCGAACCCCTAAATGTTTTTCTTTTGTCATTGTCTTAACTCCTCCGGAAAAAGAGTTTTGTAAAAGAAGTCACTACAGGTTGAATGAATGCTGGCTCTTATGGAGCCAAACAAGAATGCTTATCAGCTTTCCTGAACTGAAGAGCGTAATGTCTTTGCTTTCTCACTTCTATTGAGTATTTCTTCTTCTTCTTCTTTCTTTCTTTCCTTCTACATACCTCAGAGTGTTACAAGTATTAATGAGCCAATACTTCCATGAGAAAGCCCAGTAAAATGATCTTCACTTACAAAAAAAAAAAAATCACAGGATCTAAAAAATTGAGTTAAATTCATCTTATTCTGCACTTGAAAGCATCACATAGATAGTAAACCATGACTTTTGAACAGTTCTTTCCCTGGCAAGAAGAACTATTATTATTTACCATGTGTGTCATACACTGGTGTTTATCAGATACCAGCTTCTGATGATGATAGTGATGATGGTGATGGTGGGGGTGAGTATTTGCAGGCAAAAGGATGGAAGTGGGAGGAAAACAGAGGAGCCACTCAACGAGTAGGATAGTAGAGGGTGTGAGTCAGAAAGAAGTAGCTGCTATGACAGCTAGGCGGGAACCCAAGTTATTATGTCTTCATTCTCCTGCCTCTAGGTTGTAAATGGAACCAGTGGGGCCACATAAAGTATCCCTAAGCTGTACAGAGAATTGCATCCACCAGATCATCTAGACCCACTTCATTCCACCTGGCTGTGGAAGGACAGACTCTCCTTGAAGGGTTCAGTTGCCTTAGTTGCCCAACTCAAGTGAATGGAGGGGTAGACAGGGATAGTTTGGTCAAAATGGGTGCAGATTTAAAGTTGTGAATACCTGCCAGATTTAATTTAATTCTCATAGCACCCCCCTGAAACAATACTCTGTTAGATGCCTGTGGGAAAGGGCGAAGACAACATTGTGGTGGTGCCCCAGTCCCTCTTTCCTTTTTCTTTTGCCCCTCTTGAAAAGCAAGCAAATCAACCAACAAAACACCGCTTTTGCCATTCTTATTTGCTGGTATTATTAGAGTTAAAAAAAAAAGATCCTAATCTAGATGCATGGCAAATAAGTTTAGCATTTCCTTGTCATTGCGGTATACTTGTGGTCCTTCTTATGCCTTTGGCTCTAGAGAGCATTCTCGTGCTGTTAGTTATGGGTCAGAGTGGAACCTGACATAGTATGGGCATTATCAAGGGGAAAAGCAGTGATAAATAACAGTATAGATTGAAGATCTCAAGGGAACAAATTTACCATTTTCTCGAATCCATCACCCAACTTCATTTTTAAATTACATTCAGGTTAACCATGACAAAGTTTTTAAAAGTGAGTTACCTTTGACAAGTTTCATATTCTATTACTAATGTAGGTGAGGAAACTTTCTGTCTTTCTTGTTTTAAAATAATTATGGACAAAGGAAAGGGGACTGAGAAAGCTGAAAGACACTACCTGTCTTTGAAATACATACATTCACAAAGACATGACATTAATTTCTTTTTTGTACTTCTTGCCAGAGAATTGGGGAAATTATGTATGAAGAAAGTGTCACTCATCTTCTGTATATCCTACTGTGATAATGTCACTGTAATTGGGGTTAAAAAAAAACAGATAATTTTTCTACTTTAGAGACTAAATTTCCTTTGTTTGTCAAGGTGTCCTACATCTTGCCAATTCTCCTCAGGAGAAAATAAGTGCCATCCCGAGTTTCTACTGTGAATAATGACAAGAATGTAACCTTAGTTTTGTTATAATTATCTTTGTTTCTTAAGTTTCAAGAAAAATCGTCATCAATATCCTTTAAATCCCTGAATTAATGCCTTATGATTTATTGTTCATGCTTCTAATATTTGATAAGTCATTATTCATAGGCCTTATAGAGTTGAGCAAAAAAAAGCGAAAACTCTACTATTGACATGCTGTCTTCTGGGGTCAGGTGGCCACCATATTGCTAGGATGATTGTTGGTGCAAAGATGTGTTTCCTTAGGTGGGGCTAGGGAGAGGGTGTGGGGGCTGGAACCAGGCTTCCTGTGAGCCTCCTTATAGGTGAGAAAACTCAGAGTTTGATGATGGAGAAGTGTTATCTAGTTTCTGTTGATCTGTGTGAATATTAACCCATAGTTTAAAACTGTGCTGCCATAAAATGGGCCTATTGAAGTATATGGGCTTCTATTTATGCTATTTCTATTCTGGTTCTAACTTGATATCTCTCATTTGTTTCAGGGTTAGCCGTTTCCCTCCAACTATTGCACGGAGACATTGAACAAATCAGAAGAGAGTACTCATCCGTCTTTTCTCATGGAGTATCCATAACAAGGAAGTTGGGTTTTTCTAATATTATCATGCCTGGTAGGTTATGTGGGTAGGGTACATCAAAATGATCACGCATGGGCATGTTGTCTTTTTTTGACATTTGAGAAATTTTTCAAATTGTCAATTTTGAGGCGTTCATGTGGGCCATGCTGAAGAATAAAATGAAGTGTGTGATAATAAGCTTTTTTTTCAAAGTATTTGTACATCCTGATTATCTTAAGGTGGGTAACTAGTGTTGGCCATGGCTACATTTCATTATGACCATGATAATGATAAAAATGGGGATAGTATCCAGAAAATATTTTACCCCTTAGTGGAAAATGTCAGTGAATATGCTGGGAGGATATCCTTATAGGTTTTTTGTTTTGTTTTGTTTTTCCTTTTTTTGATACCAGGGATTGAACTCAGAGGCACTTGACCACTGGAGCCACAGCCCCAGCCCTATTTTGTATTTTATTTAGACACAAGGTCTCACTGAGTTGCTTAGTACTCTGCCATTGCTGAGGCTGGCTTTGAACGTGTGATCCTCTTGTTTCAGCCTCCCAAGCCTCTGGGATTACAGGCATGTGCCACAGTGCCTGACTCTGTATAGGTTGTTTTTTTTTTTTTTTGAGAAAAAGGAAAAGACACAGATTTTATATATTTAAAACATCTGACATACATCTGAAGCTGTAATTCCATTGTTTTTCTTGTTCCATAATCCCCCTGCTGAGACGCCTTAAAATGTACCTCTATGACTCGTATATCATGTTTCTTAGTATCATTCCAAAAGCCAAAATTGTTCTGTCGGTTGATATATTTTATTTTATTTTTTATTTTTATTTTTATTTTTTTATTAGTTGCTCATGACAATACCATGATCTTGACATATCATACATGTGAATCAAATGGGGTATGAATTCTCATTTTTCCAAATGTACAGGTTGCAGAATCACATTGGTTATACCGCCACGTATATACATACAGCAATACTAGTGTCTATTTTATTCTGCTGCCCTTCCTATACCCCCCCCCTTCCCTCCCATCACCTCTCTCTACCCAATCTAATGTCCGTATAGGTTTTGATAAGAACTGTTACTGGGCAGCAGTTGTCCTCTCTTGCAGGATTTTTTTCCATTGTAAATACATATCTATATATGTAAATAAGCATCCATGTACAAATACCATATGTCTTTTTTACGTTTTCTAGGTCAGTTTGTGTATATGATTCATGTCTTTCTTGGACCCAAAAAAGACTCCACAAGTGTTTGTTTTCTAAATGAAAAGGCAGAGGTTAAAAGGGTTCACATTGTGAAATCAATGCAAAGTTCATTGAAACTGATGGAATTTTGCAGTAAGTTGGTCTGTATCTCTCAACCAAAATAAGTTTTGGAAAGCATGCCCCTTCGTAATCTTATGGCAACTTACAGTTCTCTGAGTATTTTACATACAAACTGATGAGATGGGCAAGAATAGTATACCTGCTGATGAGAAAAGCTGTTGTATTTAGCATTGATTGAGGATCAGTTTTATGCCAGGATCCCCAAATTAAAGGATGAATTCATTCATTCTACAGTTTTTTTTGTTTTGTTTTGTTTTGGGTACCTTCTATGGGCCGAGGTATTCTTCCAGCTATTGGAAATACAATAATGAACAAACATAAAAAGAAATCCCTTTTCTCATGGAACTTATTTTCTAATAAAAAATCATAATTAATGTGTAAGTAAAATATATGTGTTTAAAGATACTAAATACTAAGGTACAAACTCAGGTAAGTAAAGGGCTTAGGAATATCTGAAATGATAGTCAGGCTGGGCTGAGAGATGGAAACTTTAGATAGGTAAGAATTTATGTGATGACACAAAGAGTAAAGAACTGAAAGAAATGAGGATGCCATGCAGAGAGAAGCATTCCAGGCAGAGGAAACAAACGCAAAAGCCCTGAGGCAGGAGAATGCCTGGCATATCTGAAGAACTGCAAGAAAACCACCGTGGCCAGAAGGGAGTCATGGTGATGGGAGACAGAGTAAGGACAGAAAATCATGTGGGGTCTTGGAGATCACACTAAACACTTTGACTGTTTTTCAGAATGATGAATGGAACAACTGGAAGATTTTGAGCAGGTGTGTGCCTAACTGGTATACATTCTGACCAGATTATTATAGTCTCTACGTGAAGATTGTACCTGGAAGGAAAGTGGGAGGGCAGGAAAGAAACAGGGAGATCAATGTGGAGGCTGTTGGAGATTATCCAAGAGAGTGTGATCATAGCTTGGAGAAGGGATAGCTAGGGAGCTTGAGACCTGCTCAGGCCCTCAGGGGTGACCTGCTCATGCCCAGGCAGAAGACACAGGGAGATCTGGAAGGGGTTAGAAGGAGCACAGAGGAGGCATAGAACCTTCCTCCTGTTGAAGGAACCTTATGGAAGATTTCATAGAGAGGTAACATCTAAGCAGGATTTTCAAGCCAATGACTCCAGGCCACATCTCCCATTGTTTGCCTCTGTGCTAGCAGCAAACCCAGCTCTGGTACTGAGCCTGTGCAGGTGTGGATAGCAATGCTCCACCTCTAATGTTAAAAGAAAACCTAAACTCGAAAAACTTTTTAATTTTTTTAATATATTTATTTTTAGTTGTAGATGGACATAATATCTGTATTTATTTACTTGTTTGTTTATTTATTTATTATTCATGTGGTGCTGAGGATCAAACCCAGTGCCTCAAGCATGAAAAGCAAGCGCTCTACCACTGAGCTGCAACCCCAGCCCAAACTTTAATTTTTCAAGTTCTGTGAAGATCTGGATTTCATGAGAGAATAGCCTGTTAAAATCCTTTGAAATGTAAAAGCTTAGAACAAACCAGAAACGTTGAAATGCCATTTAGTTGTGAATCCAAGATGCTAAAATTCTAGAAATTTCTCATTGTCCCTAGGAATAGAAGACTGAACAGGTGGAATTATCCTCACTGAGCTTTGGTTTATCTGTCCCTTCGTGTGTCTAGCCCTCTCACTTTCTTTCTCTTTTCCTTTTTGTCTTTGTCATCTTCTTCTTTAGCATCCATCTCTAAGGTCTCTGAATTTTACCTTAGAATGGGAGTAAGCTATGCAGGTTACTATGGCTTACTTTAATTAAAAAATATTTAACATGTCACATCCTTGTTTTACAAACCAAAAAATGAATTTTCATCAGCCTCCAAATTTTATGATGGGAAGGCTCTACCTTGTGTTTGGTCTTTCATAGAAACAAAAATCTTCTGCCCTTTCACCTGCAAGTTAGGGGATGAAAGATAGCATATTGAGTATTAGTATTTCTCATTGCTTCCTACCCCACCCTCCACAACCAAGAAAAGGGAAAAAAATATAGACCAAATGGAACAATATAAAGCTGTGGACAACCTTTTTAAAAATTAGATCCTCTGGACTATGATTTAAATGTCTTGTGATTGTTGTGAATAAAACCCCCAAATGACCAGCCTTGCCCATTGCACCATTTTGTGATCTCTTGATAGAAATTCGTTCATGCAGAGAGAGCTGAGAGAACAGTTTGGAAGTCTTCCTGAAATGACCTGACCTAGCTTAGAGACCTATTCTGCCTGAGCATCTCATCCTACTGTTGTTGAAAATGACTGTTTATAGATCTGTTTACTTGGTGGCATGCTATTCAGTGGCTCTTGCAACCGTTCATTATTTCCTTCAGTTGCTATAAATAACTGGTATTTCCTCTTCAACAAAAAAGCAAAAAAAAATTCATCCCACTGGGAAGCAAATTGATGGGCAAATCTAATATAAAAAACATATTTCAGAGCAGAATACAGCCAGCTGAATTCCTCATCTTGGTCTCTGGGCAGTATCATTGAGAAATGGAAAAATATGAAGCAAGATGACACTTCACTGGCTGAATTGTCTGGGAGGTGCTATGCTCATGCAGCTTTTGTCTGGCTTTAGTGATGGAAATGGTCTTTCTGGGGGTATAAGGCATGCTTCTGTCCCTTTCTGGCTCTGTCTTGTAGTGGAAGGTTCACATTGTCCAGAAGAACAGCCCTTCCCAGACACAGGTCTGCACTGTGGGACTAGAAGATAATTTGAAACACTTCCTTCTCTTTCTTTTCTCCTTTTTATTGTTGACTTCTTAATCTTTCCAAATTAGATGAAGAAAGGAGAGATGTAGTTATTTATTCAAACAGCTGAAAGGAGCTCTAAAAGTGACTTTTTTTTTTTTTTTTTTTTACATTGGGAAACATGTAGTTCTGTCTTCTGTGGTTATTTTCAGAATGGTCAATTAATTCTCACCAGTGGCTTAGTGAAAACTTGAGCTGAGTGCTTCGAAATTGTTTGTGAACAACATTTCTGATCACAGTGTGACATGGATAGTCTGAAAGCATGATTTTCTTTTTCCATTTTCTAGACTTGCTTTCAGAGTTAATTTGCATCTGTAGTGGTCTGATAGGGGTCAAGACAGGTGAAGCACACGCTCATTCCAAAAGGACCAACTTCATCAACACAGCCACTGCCTCTCTGCTGAACAGAATGATCTGTGCTCTTGAAGTAGACAGGAACACACAGAGAACTGTTTGAAGGATAGCACAACACAATCAGTGCCCAGCTCTTTTTGAAATGAGAAAACATGAAGACAGAAACTCTCCCCTTGACCTTGCTTTTGTACAGGTGGATCTCTAAGATATCATCTGGTGTGAAGAAACTGCCTACCTTTGTGCTTTTGGAACCATCAAGACAATGATCATTCTCTGAGTTAAGGGTCAGTTACTCCATACTTTATTTCTTAGGATATTATTTCCAATTAAGAGAAGGTATTTTCAGAGAAGCTTTATCACTATTACCAATAATCCAGATGATTATTCTGAGGGGAGTTTTGTGCTTTGGTCTCTAAGCCTAAGAGAGGGAGAGCAGCAAAAATATTTAAAATCATRCTCTCCTATAGAAATAAAAAAGCAAACCACAAATATAATTTAAAATTTGCTAGCAGCTACTTTAAAAACCCAGGAAAGAAGAGGTGAAATTAATTTTAACAGTACATGTTATTTAAACCTTTACACTCAAAATA